CACCTATGCAGTTATCAGGATTGGCTGGCACCCTCTCTCAGGTTATGACCGGATGGTGAAGTTATCATAGACTGGATCAGGCTAACAGGGTCACTTGAAAGTGCAGTCTGAGATTTAGAACTAGATTTAGAACTATCCTTGAATCTACATGCAAAGATTGACTGATCTAGGGACAAAAAATCACACTGCACTTCAAAGCAGCCCTATTTAGCCCATTCCTCTTTCTTAGCCTCCATGCTCCTGCATCCTCTTTTGTCTCCCCCTCTGCAAGGAGCCAGGGAAAGCTTTTTTTATTGGCAAGTGATACATCATTTAATTGACTTGCATCCAAAGTGAAACAGTGCTGAATTTTAAAAAAAAATATATCCCCCTCTGCCTCCCCTTCTATGTGCCCCTCAAGGGAAAGCAGGGAAAAGCTGGATTTGTTGTTTATTTATTGGTAAGTGACATATCACTTCAGTAGCTTGCCTCCCAAGTGCCATAGTACTGAGCTGTTGCAGAAATCACCTACCAGTGCCTGCATTCAAAAAGAGCAGTCCATGCAAATTATTTTAATAAAGGTATTGATAGCCATGGAAAAGGGTCCGGTTGGTTTGCAATTACCAATACTGTACATTGTATAGTAGCTGAAAAAAACAGATTAAACCTGATTGTGACAAAAACAAGTGCCACCTGATTGCACCTGCACTCAGTTTTGCGCAGTTCTGTAGGTTCTCTTTACATAGCAATGTGACAGAATCCACTGTGGGCAGATTACCTGTAGGCAGAAGTCTCAGTGAAACTAGGCAGGAGGAAGAGGTGCTGTGAGAAACTTCAGAGACTATCAAAAATAGTAGTGTGACCATTCCTTTGTCTCCAGACTGCATTTCCTGGTTACCTTTGACATCAGGACACTTAGCTGGTAATAATGGCAGGCCTTTATAGCAGAGAAAACAGAAATTGGTGCAATGGTTTGGCAGTGTTATTATTTATTATTTATTTAAAATATTTTTGCCCCACCCTTCTCTGTAAAAAAGGACCAAAGGCAGCTTACATTATTAAAATAAAATATTTAAAGCTAACAATAATGAGTATATAAACACTCTTAAATTAAATAAATATTCTTAAAAACATAAGCAATAGCAAAAAAAAACATTAAGGGTGATAAGGTACAACAGTCCATTAAAAATCTTACAGAAGCAGTAAATCACAAAGGAAAGCTTTCATGGCATATCCACACAGTCTTAATTAGAAGCAAAGATCAGACTTGGGAGGAATGGCATTTTTCTTGTTTAACACCATTTGTTACTGTTATTTTTTATTTTCACAATTTTCATTTAATATGAATATATATTATGACTTTACAATATAACACAATGTCATTGGGCTAAAACTTACATTCTAACACTAAAGAACCTAGTTTAAATGGGAAAGATCCAGGTTCAAATTAGACATGGGGATAAATATAAAAACCAATTGCAATATTCAATGACTACAGCTAATTCGTCAGATAATTGTTTCATATTCCTGAGGTCCAATGAATGCAAAGCAACTAATATAACCCTTTTATGTTTGTCCCTTCATCTATCCCTGTCTGCTTATGCCCCTGCAGATTAGCTGTTCCTTGGAGCGTAGGCAGAGAGGGTTTTTCCTTTTGGGCAGCTTGCTAAAGTCTGCTCAAAGCAAATCGCACCCATCCCATTTGCAAAGGTGAGGAGATCGCTTTGCTCAGGCTTCCTCTGTTTTTCTATGCCCCTGCAGCATAGACGGGAAGGTTGACCAAAGGAATTCCTCCCCCCATGCTATATTTCCAAACAGTAGGGGGGGTTGCTTTGGTCAGGCTTCCCCAATTTATGCCGCAGCAGGATAGAAAGAGCGAGACTGAACCAAGCAATGTGGGGGATTGCTTTGATCAGGCTTACCCCAGCTTCCAATGCATGCCCAGGCATAGAAAGAAGGGGGGGGAAGCCTGACTGAAATGATCCCCCACCCTACCGTCTGTGCAAAGACAGCAAGGGGGGTTGCATCAGTCAGGCTTGCCCAAAGGGAGCCCTTCCCCTCTGCTCCTAGCAAAAGCTAGGCTACCAGAATGGAAACCACGGTTCAAGCAGTCTAGCTTCTGTCTCAGCAGAAGCAGTGGCAGAGCAGGAGGAGGCAGCCACTAGAAGGGACTGAATGTATATGATTAAACTCCTACTGACATTAAATTGCAGTTGATTTTGCTTTTGAATAATAGATAAGGATAGTCTTCTACTTCATTGGTCTTTTATTCTAAAATAATAGAATTGTATTACATTTTACGGTATCATTTTACATGCTCAGATTGCAATAGTGAGTGAAGGACTGAGGATTCTCTAATGCTGAAATGATTTGCCTTTCATTTTCTAAAAATCAAAAGAGAAAAAAGTAAGACCTACTGGGCACACACTCGATGTGACAAAAGATGTGACATTTGGAACTTGAGGAGGTAGCTGCTAGAGATATCCATGGACACAAAGGACAGAAAGCAGGAACAAGCCTGCAGCAAAAGGAAAACGTGCAACTTTGCAGAATGCAGGCGTGACATTATCTAGTTATAGAACATTTCCAGGAGGTTGTCTGGTCTGCTTTAAAAAGAAATGTCAAGTGCATAACTATGTTTGCACCACTAATACAATTATTATAATAATATGAACAAAGCAGTTGCAATAAATTTACCAAATGGTTTTGGAATTAAACCAGGGGGTTGATTTTATTGATCCCCTCTTTACAGTAAATACATTTTAGCAGAGTTGGTGAAATGGTCATGCCAGCCAAGGTGTTCTGGGAGTTGTAGTCCAAGGATATAACTTTTCCTGTCCCTGCATTTTTTTTCCTTTCCCTTTCCCTTCATTAACAAAGCAGCAGAAAGACATAAGTATTAACTGAGAATCTAACACAGGAGGAGTGTATCTGCACTAAACAGTAACAGCAGATGGCTGGCAGTCTTTTAGCTGCAATGGCTCCATTCTATAGAATCTTGGGATTTGCACTTGGTAAAGGATTTCAAACTGTAAGCTGCAGGTCAGGGGGACTCCACTAGAGTGCATATACCGCAAAACCCAGAATTTTATAAGATGAAACCATAGCACTGAAAACGGTGTCACATTGCTATAATCACCAATGAACAGTATTTCAGTGCTTGGGATTGATGCTAGTACTAGTCAGAGCCATAACTTAGCCATTTGAGCACCCGGGGCAACCAGTCTGAACTGAGGCAAGGGCATGATCCCCCTCTGATGAAAAAGAGGAGGTGAGTGTGCTATTACAAAAGAAAAAGAAAGCTTATGCTTTAAAAAAAAGTATTGCCATTTATTTTTCCTACTGCTCACCAGTAAATTCACCTTTAGATACTGGTACCCTCTGAGTTTTGTTGCCCTGGAGCAAAGCCTAAGTTTCTCCATCCTAGTTCACAGGCCCGGAACACTGAAATAAAAGGCATAATGTGTCTGTTCCTTTTCCACCCCCAGATTCTTTGGAGCAATAAAAGGGGGGAAACTGAAGAACTAGCAAGAAAACATGGGATACGGTTACAGTTATCTGTGTGCTGGCAACTTCTGTTTGCATTGCCATGAACTGTGGAAAGGCAGGACACTGAGTTCTTTTCTTGGTTGCACAATATGTCATCAATGTGGCCAGAATACTTAGGGCGGATGGCTTTCCCCTGGGTGGAGGGGCAGATGGATCTGGGAGAGCGTTTCCCTCTCTAGTCTGCTTCTGTAGCGCTAACACTCAAAATGCAATTATTCCATCTTCTCGATGGGTTAAAAAAAGTTAAAAAATAATTAAAAATACAGGCAGTGGGAAAACACAGAAAGGTTATAAATGGAAGGACAATGATGTCTGAGGCTATTACAACATTCTATGAATGGGGCAGGGAAATAGCATAATAGGGCCCCTGCTAGAAGCCCTGGAAAAGGTCTCTGTAATTAGGAACTGACAGATCTTAGAACTGCACAGCTGGAAGGGACCCTATGGATCACTGAGTGCAGCCCCTGTCATGAGGGCACAGCGTGGAACTGAACTCCAAGCCTCTGGCTCTGCAGCCAACTTGACAGTGTATTATTTGTAAGCCGCCTAGAGTGGTCGAAATGACTAGATAGGTGGGGTATAAATACAATAACAACAACAACTACTACTACTACTACTACTACTATTATTGTTGTTGTTGTTGCTATTATTGCTATTATTGCTATTATTATTGAGAAGCTCCTTTGAATGTAGGTGACTGATTTTTCAGCTTGTTCAAAAGTCATGCGTACAAGCTATTCATACACTATTGCTATTATAATTAAGTCTCACTCGCTATGTTCACCATCGGCGCCCCTCACTAGTCAAATAAAAGAAAACTGCTTTTGACATAGTGTAGTCAATCTTTATCACCACAACCAAAAGGATATATAAAGAAGCCTGGAATACTATTGCTGCCATCTTCTAGAACACCTGTCTGTTAGCCAGTCAAATTAAGAAAAAGCCTGAAGACACTCCAACTTGGTGTAAATTCTGTTCCCCAAATAGTCCTAAACGAAGTGCCTTTCAAATGTTTGTCTCACTCTTCACACCTACCCCCCTTTTTTTCTCTGCCTCATGCCAGCTTCACTTTGCTCTGTTTTATAAGTCAAATGGTGTTTAACTGGAGGGGTGGCTCATTAAATATGACATACCTTTGGCCTTGGCATATACCTTCAGCAGAATTTGCTTCCTGGTTGTTTTCCCATGGAGGATAATCCATATCCTGTCACATTTTTTTCTTTGTTTAGCGCAAAGCTTCTGTCATCATCGTACAGCTGCATTGGTATAATGCCAACTGCCTTGTATATTCTTCACAAGATGGAAATCCTGATATAGGATCATCAGAATCACTGTATCAAAATTAACCATACTGTATCTTGAAATGGCTAGTAGGAAATATTAAATTATTTATTAACTGCGCGGGCAATAACAAGAATTCAAGGAAATATATTTTGTATTTCAATGTATTTTCTTGAGCAAGGTGATTTTATTTCAGTTTGAACAATAAGCTGACACAAGTGCCATTTCAGATTGAATTGTGTTTTAATGTGAAGAGCTTGGAGAAGAAAATCATGCAGCATTTCAGTACAATCTTCTTGCAACATCTCTTATTTTGTAGTTTTATCAGATTATAAACTAAAGCAGCATGGTATAAAAGAGGCATCATAGACATAGGAATCCTGTGAAAGTATTATAAAAAATATTTGAGTGATATTAAATATGCATCACAATCCCCAAATTAACAAAAGTACAATAACAGCTCTTCTACAACCCCATGATTTAGGTCACATTGAGAGAGCAGGGCTGGCCCAAGCTCTCAGAGTAAAATCCCACAGATGCAACTCAGTGTTGCACTTATAGTAGCTACAGTAGCTCTGAGACAGAAATGCTATCCCCAAGGCACTTCCACTGATGCATTGTACAATTGATTATTATACCTGTATGAACAGGATTTTGCCCAGCGAGTTGCATAGATTAGTGGAGTTGTGAACTCCTGTATCTCAAATCATAGTCCAAAACTCTAAGCACTACACCACAGCTGATCTCTAATGTTAGAGGTGGAAGGGGCCTATAAAGCCACCATGTCCATTCTCCTCCTCAGTACCCAAATCCAAGTACAAAATATCTAAATTCTATTGGTAATTACCCATCTTGCTAGACTGACTTTTCAAGATGTTAAGTCTAGAGTCATCAAGAAGGGAAGTCAAGCTTTTCCTCCTCTGCTAACTAGACCACTCATATAGTCTTTAGGCTTACCTGAAAGTGAGATGAGGATGAGTGGTGGTCACTGGGTGATCTGTAGAGAAGACAGCCTGCCCTCCCTCGTCTCACTCTTGCTGAACCAGGTCAACTGTACATTTTCCACAGTCAGCGTTGCGTCTGTGCTACTGCAGTAAATTCTGGGGCAGATCCTCAATTTGTGCAGAAAGCATGTCATACTAGAAGCAATCCAAAAGCTTTGGGACACACCCTGACTTTGGCATTATGGATGAACAAACCACCAGATTCCCAAATAGTTGGTTAGATAGACTGTTTGTAGAAGGGGCCAAACCACAGATAGCTGGCATATCTTTGTCCTGATGAGCTCCCTTTCTGTATTGCCCTGTATTTTTTCTGATTTCCTTGTTGATTCTATAGATAGTGTGAAATTCTGATTTATCTGGACTGTTAATATAGATAATTAGTAGGTTTTATTGTATTTATTCTGCTTTGTGAATCAAATCAGTAGCCAGCCATAACCAGAGTTCAAAATTGTGTGTGCCTGCTTTGATTCCAATATAATATAGTAATCTAAGTATAAATCAGTGTTTCCCAGCCTGGGAGTCATAACTGCTCAAGGGATCACAAAGTGTCTTCTAGTAGGTCACCTTAAATGTGTTGTAGCCCTTGTTAATAATATAAT